CCTTGTGCATGCCACGCATTGGTTATTAGGTACGATTGAGACATTAGTGAGCATTTACAACTTGGGGATTTTAGGAAAAACAAAGGAAACTCTAGCGAATTTTCTGTAGAATTGGCAGATTTTAGACAAATTTCGGGAGAGCATATCTCTCTCCACCGAGGTCCGATAGGGACGTTCCATACGCCATTTTGAAGCTTGAGATGTCCTTTACATTGTGCCAAAATATGAGAATATTCTGGGTTGCACGCAGCCTTGTAGAAGCCTGTGGACAAGGACTGTCAAGAACTCTCCTATGCAGGGGCTGTTTCTGGCAATTTTTTTGGGAATTTTATTCCCGCTTTGGTTCTCAGTAAAATTAAGCGTATGATATATCAAATTTAATTTTGAGGTGTCTAGTTTGTGGTGTAAAAATTTGAGAGTAATTGGGTGAGTTGATTTTCTGCAGTAATTCATGGAGTGAGAGATGTTTAGAGCTGTTTTGGGGTTGGTTGGCAGCTTTGCTTGTCCAACTTCAAACTGCGATAACCGGAGCAAACGAGCTCCAAATAAAGCGTGTGATAGCTTCCTAGAAAGGTAATTAAGTAAGAAAAAATATAGATAGAAAGGAAGGTCTGGTTTTGTGCGGTGAGTCCGCAGAAAAATAATTACTGAACCATGTTCGGATAGGTAGAAAATGTAAGATTGAGAAATTGGCTAAGTGGGTTTATGGGAACCCTTTAGTGTCTTATAGTAAGTAAAATAAGATATAAAAATAGTTTAATCTAGTATTTCACATGAGTTTACAGTTATGATCACAACTTTTATTTATTACGCTTTTTACGGTTTTAAATGCTAGCGTAATAAACGGAAAAAGTTTACTCTCATTTTAATAAATGAACTGCTATGATTGTAACTGCGCTTAATATCATAATTAATGTTAACAATACCGGTGTACAATGGGCTATTACAACGTGCTCCGCAGATATCACCTGATTAGAGAAATCGTGATAGATTGGATGTAAAGATGGATTATGTTCCCACAGATGATAACCTAGCTGATTCTCTTACGAAGGCTGTTTCTTAGAGAAAACATGATAGTCATTATGAGGCTTTAGGTATACGACTTAGGTCAGATTGGCTCTAGGCCAAGTGGGAGCTTGTTAGTATATGGATGTCCTAGAGACAATCTTTTGATTACATTAGGACATATGTGGACCTTTTTATATTGTCGCAAATAAATAATAAGCACTCTTTATCCTGTTTCATATTTTGTCTCAATATTATTGTTAATATATTATATGAGTAACTGGATAAACCCCTTGGAATAAAATAGGTATCTCTTGAGTATTTGTGATGAGATCACGATCATGAGGATTTAAGGATACCGGACGTTTATTCTTAATTTTATGTTCCTAGTCTAGAGACACTCAGAATGGGGATCAGTAATCTCGGGTAAGACTAGCACGGCTTATCTACTTGTATTCGGATACAAGGTAAAGACCTCATGAGCTACAGATATGGAGATGTCTTAGCTAAAGTCGTGGCTGGACCTATAAGGGTATAGCTCGCACTGAACGGACCCACAAAGAGACTTTATGAGGAAATCTTACAAAAGTTTCATTAGAGCAGTCTCTTAATATTTGGGTATGTCTTTCCTTAGACCATAAGTTGTCACCTAGACGGTGTTCTAGAAGGCATGTTTTGACTGTATACCTCGTCTGCCTGAAACATGGAGACTCATAGGTATACTTTTGGACATGTCCTGAAAGAGCACAGGCCTAGGGTGATAAGCTGAAGGAATTCGTCAAATCTCTGTAAGGGATTAGGTTATCTGTAAACCGGAGAAATCAGGATGACATTTATAGGACTCGGGAATCTATGCATAGTAAAAGAGATCATGAGATGATCTGCCTTTAGAGTCAGTAAATTGAAGATTTCCTATTTTGAATTAAAGCTTACCCTAAACCGCAAGGGTTGATACATTTCCTCACCATAGGTTTAAAGGGAAGGTAACCGAGACGAAAGGAAATACATACAGTAACCAAATATATGTAATAGGATGATCATGTCATTAACCTAACTAGCTCTGGGGCAACAAAGCATTGCTAGTGCTCTGTGTTATCATTAAATGGGTTGTGGGCTTGTTGGGCCCAAGTCCATTTATGTCAGTGGCTATGTTGGGCCTAATGGGTCACACACTAACACCTTATTGTCTTGATGATATAGCATTAAAGGTATTGGGCCTAATAAAGGTTGTTAGCCCAAGAAGAAGTTTGGAAGCCCACCTAAGAGGGAAAGGGCGCATGGTAATTGTAATGGGCTTGGATGGTCCAAGACATTATTAATTAATTTAATTAGTTAAATTAATTATCAAATATTTAAATTTAGAATTTGAATTTAGAATTTGAATTTTGAATTTAAATGTTTGAACGTATGAATTTAAATGTTTGAATTCGAATTTGAATTGGCTATGAAAAGTTGTTTCATAACAAAAGGATAAGATAAGATCTTGTTGGAACAAATCCCCAGTATCAAGAGGAGAACTTTGAGCATCATCCAAGGTTGTTTGGGGCGCTGATTTGGGTTCTTATGAGTGTCATTTAGTTAACCAAATAAGCTCCAAATCAGATTTGGTTGGTTGAGAGAATAAGTGAGTGAGTTGGTTCAAATTTGAATGCAACTACTCAATATATTTGGACTGCATTGTGGACCAAAGGGGCGTACCATATGACTGGCCATATGATGGTCATTGGGTCAGAATTTTGACTAGGTTTAGACCTAGTCTCATGAGGATTAAAAGGTAGGTTGTTGAGAAAATTTGAATTGCAACAACTCCACCTTTTTCTCCCTTGGTGTGCGCCACTTTGATAAGATTTTTAAGTGAAAAATCTGACTTAAATGCTTAGACTCTCTCATCTCCTTTGGTCATCCTTTTGTTAGGTTTTTCTTAAGAGAGTTTTGAAGAATATCCTAGCCACTTATCATCAAATCCATGCGCCACTTTTGTGAAGTTTTAAGCAGAAAATTTCACTCATCTAAACACATTAACCTTGCCTCCTCCTTCATCTATTGAACGCCTAGCCAGCCTTCTTTGTGGTGTTTAATTGGTGGCTTTTCAAGAAGGGTTCCTGCATCTCGACGTAGGGTGGTGTGGATCAACATTAGAGGGTTTGAACCCTTTCAAACCTTACATTGATCACCTTGGAGTTTTAATCACGAACAAGGTATATCATTGTGTCCTAAAGTACGCATCTTTATTGACATGTGTGTTTCCGCTGTTGAAAATTTTTATTTTCATCCTCACATGCCTATGGCCTTCAAGGCCATTTTCTTTCAGTTAGCCCAAGAAGAAGTTTGGAAGCCCACCTAAGAGGGAAAGGGCGCATGGTAATTGTAATGAGCTTGGATGGTCCAAGACATTATTAATTAATTTATTTAGTTAAATTAATTATCAAATATTTAAATTTAGAATTTGAATTTAGAATTTAAATTTTGAATTTAAATGTTTGAACTTTTGAATTTAAATGTTTGAATTCGAATTTGATTTGGCTATGAAAAGTTATTTCATAACAAAAGGATAAGATAAGATCTTGTTGGAACAAATCCCTAGTATCAAGAGGAGATATTTGAGCATCATCCAAGGTTGTTTGGGGCGCTGATTTGGGTTGTTATGAGTGTCATTTAGTATATCAAATAAGCTCCAAATCAGATTTGGTTGGTTGAGAGAATAAGTGAGTAAGTTGGTTCAAATTTGAATGCAACTACTCAATGTATTTGGACTGCATTGTGGACCAAAGGGGCGCACCATATGGCTGGCCATATGATGATCATTAGGTCAGAATTTTGACAAGGTTTAGACCTAGTCTCATGAGGATTAAAAGATAGGTTGTTGGGAAAATTTGAATTGCAACAACTCCACCTTTTTCTCCCTTGGTGTGCGCCACTTTGATCAGATTTTTAAGTGAAAAATCTGACTTGAATGCTTAGACTCTCTTATCTCCTTTGATCATCCTTTCGTTAGGTTTTTCTTAAGAGAGTTTTGAAGAATATCTTAGCCACTTCTCATCAATTCCATGCGCCACTTGTGTGAAGTTTTAAGCTGAAAATTTCACTCATCTAAACACATTAACCTTGCCTCCTCCTTCATCTATTGAACGCCTAGCCAGCCTACTTTGTGGTGTTTAATTGGTGGCTTTTTAAGAAGGGTTCTTGCATCTTGACGTAGGGTGGTGTGGATCAACATTAGAGGGTTTGAACCCTTTCAAACCTTACATTGATCACCTTGGAGTTTTAATCACGAACAAGGTATATCATTACGTCCTAAAGTGCATATCCTAAAGTGCAGTCAGAATTTTGTTTTCATCCTCACATGCCTACGGCCTTCAAAACCATTTTCTTTCAATAATTTGTTATAATTTAGTGGCTGAGTTAACTACAAGCATATTTTCTACCCGGTTTCATTTTGCAATTCTGACTGCTGTGTTGTTCAATGCCTGGAACGTATCTTCCTCTACATCAAAGAATCAATTTCATGATACATACATATACTCTAACATTTTATATGATGCTTTTCAATTTACTTTGAATTTTTTTATTAGAGTTTAGTTGTACTTGAAAGTAGTTTTTATTTTTATAGATAACAATTTCGATAAAACTGAAACGCACCTTAATGTTAATAATACTAAGCTACTTGTCACTTCGTTTGAGAGGAAAAAGCAATATTTAAGGACCAAATTCAAACCGCCACTACAAAAAATTGTGTAATTTGTGGAAGTTATTTTGTGGAGGTTCATAAAACCCCCCAATAATTATGTATATTATGATATTTTTAGAAAATGCCACATTCTATTTTTATTTTTAGTTTAGTTTTTATAATTTTATGGCCGGTTTTTACCCCCACAATATTTATACTCTCTAAATTTTTGAACATTTTCTGAGGGATGGCCGTTATAAATTTTTTTTTTAACAGATAATAAAATTCCCAAAGTTCCCAACAACGAATGGTTGCATCGTCTCTACTTCTTCTTCACACAATGCCTCCTCCTCCTTCGCTTTCTACTACAAAGTAACCTTAACCAAGCTCACACACTCTCTCGTTCGTTCGTGCGTCTGTTATCTTCGTTTTAATCTTCACTCTGTTTTTGCGAATTTGTTGCTTTGAAGGTTCAATTCTGATCCCAACGATCCGGTTCTAGAGAGAAGCAGTAGCTAGAGTTTCAGAGAGAGCTCTATTTCCAGCGCTTCCAATACTCTTCCTCGCTCACCAATGGAGACAGTGATTCATCGGAGGATGATGAGAGATCAGATCGGGTAGCATATAGTTCTCTGCAGTTTCTCGTTACCATCAGATGAAGTTCAAGGTTCCTTTTATATATCTTCTCATCGATTCTCTTTTAGAATTTTTTCTTCTTCATTATCTGGAATAATTTGTGGAAGGCTACGAGGGGGTGTTGAATCTCGGATGATGTATGAGATTGAATCAACAATTGATATAGAACTGGTAATTTCACTTGATTTACCATTATGAAACAAAAAATGGTCAAGGTAATCTTCTGAAACAAAACATGTAAAATGTAGATTTATTTAATTAGGCAGGTAATGGATATTCTTATTAGGAAGGCATTGATTGTTTCTATCCCGTTTTCCTTAGCGTTGAATCTGATACAGTTTTTAAGTTAATTGAAGGAAGGAAGTTCAATTTAATTATTAAGCTATTTCGCACTTTTTATTCAAGTTGGCTGGGTTTGTTATTTTACTCATCTCTCTGTCAAACTCTATAGCATTGGATTGAATCATTCAACTTAGTTCAGCTGTGTGTTTAGATTTCGTCAGAGAGTGGGAGAGGTGGGCCATAGGCAGAGACTAGGAGTGTGATTGAAGCAATATGAGTGTAGACAACAAGAAATGGGTTAAGAACAATTTCACTTATAAATACCGATTTGAAAACTTCCATCGTGAAGAGACCAAATTAAAAATTAGTGTAATGTATAGGGATAAACTATTTAATTTAACATAACTAGTCAAACACAAGCTAGAGTTACATCATAGTCTATTAGCCACGTAGGAGTAGTTCATGGAGTTATGACTATCGTAAACATGGGGACTTATGAGATTTTTTATTTTTTTTTTCATTTAGGGACCGGAAGAAATTCTGTATACAGATGAGATTTAAAGTGAACGTCAAATATAAGGATACAAATTTTAATTTAACCTTTATTTTTTTCCTATTTATTTTATTCAAGTTTTATTACTTTTTTTACCTTTGTTTAATAAGAGAAACCTTGTTTTATGAGCTTATGATTATGATTAACCATAATTATATTTGTATTTGCACTCGTATGTATATATGCAATTGTATGTGTGGTTCCTTTGTTAGTAATATTACTTAAAATATTTTAAGTATTGATAGATTTTTTTTTTTTTTTTTTGATAACAAGTATTGATAGATTTTAGCCTATACAATGACAGGAACTGATGGAGACGTTGCGTATAGAGGTGGTGGAAGGTGGGTTAATCAGAGATTTCCTTGAATTGGGTAGCAATGATTTCAAGGCTTTGATTCAGGTTGTCAAGGATTTGGTATTGCAATTCTTTCCTGTTCATGATAAAGACCCTGAACTATAACTAGTAAATAGTAATGCGGGAGTATTTGGACCACTCATTAACTTTTAGAAAAAAAAAACTCGAATCCCACACACTTTTATGTGTGTGGAGGAGATAAAATTATCTCTTATAACACTTATCCTTGCTTGACACCTTTCATGATAGGTAGAAGATTCGGGTGCTAAAGGAACGCCTCAAGGAAACTACTAATATAATTCTGTCTTGATGCATATTTGAACCTTGGAAACGTGTAGAAGTTAATGTGTTATGCATGACTGGTTGGATGCAACTGATACTTCATACATGGCCAAACTATGGCATGGTTAATGGTGAGTGAAGTTCTTATGCATAAAACGTGCTAGTTTTGCATGAAGCTAAAGATGAACCAATTGCTTCCGGCTATATGTGATTAATGCATTCCAAGCTATGTGATATTGATGATAGTTGATGATTGGTACATAATGGTACCAGCATGTATTCCACTCTCTTCATTCTAAATAATATCTCTGCTTTCAATTATCACATATACATATATTAAAAAAACTAATGACAGCATGCATCATTTTGGGCCTATCATGTTTTTATTTTGTCTTAATAGTGTCTTGCACATGCCATTTTGGGTCATGATTACCTCTGTATTCTACTTAAAATAGATTACTAGCTATAACTAGACGTGCTATTTATCTTGCTATTTATTTTTTATTTTTACTTTTTTGCAGTGTCTGGTCACATTTGGAAGTGAGGACATCCATATATTACATGTATGTATGGCAATGTTGCGTGCACATTCAATGTTGTTATCCCATCAACAAGGCACTGGCACTCCAGGAATATGTATAAAAGTAGGCCTTACAGTTACAGGTGATCTAAGATTTCACATAACAAGAGGGTTTCAATATCCTCCTAGTGTGGTAGTGCTCAAAGTAATGTACACCACCAGAAAGCCAACACCCTTGCGCTTATTAAGACCTTATAGACTTTCTTGTAGTTTGTGGCGGCAACACCACGAAGGGAAAGTAGATTCTTCTTCCACTCCCTAAAAGTATTTCACGGGTAAGTAACTGCTAGTGAGTTAGTTCCTCCAACTTCATTGTTAATACAATCATACTTACCCCTTGTGTGAAAAAATGAAAACTTTGTTCCTACAAACAACACCTTTCTGTCCAATGTTTATTCTCTGAGTTTACCCCTTGTTTGACTACAACAGGTATTCGAATTTGCGGTCGGCAGAATGCCTCGTTTTTCTCAAATATTGGAGTTATTTACGCATCATGAAAATAGCTAGTATTTTGCTATGCATTTTAATGATCATTCCGTCAGCTAATGCTGTTGACGCTGTCAAAACTTGTGCTTGCTTGCTTAAGGAATGCAGGTATACCATCTTTCTCTCTTTTCATTTTTCTGCCATAATAAAAAGTAATTCAATAGGCCTCCAATTTCTTAATTTTTTTTATCTATGCAGGATAGAACTGGCTAGGTGTCTTTCAAACCCATCATGTGCTGCCAATTATTGAACAGGCATGTACTATATGGAGTGTGTCCTTTTCTTTTTCTTTTTCAAACTTTTTTTAACCTCCAAATTTTTAGAAATACATGAAGCATTTATTATAGTTAACTATATAATTTGCTAGACCATGCCTTTTTTGCTTTGAAGTTTGGATTGGTAAAATGAAGTGAATAACTGCAAAATGCTTTTGAGATTTTATTGATGATTCTCCACACATTGCAGTTCCGTGCACTTTCGGATCAGCTTTTTAGGTCACGTGAACACTACAAGCATGTTCGAAAAGAGATTGTAAAACAGGTATGTATGCTGTGAGGACATCTGGTTTTGTTGGTCATGTGGAAAGAACAATGCCTCTGAAAAATGTCTAGCTATGAGGACATCTGGTTACTTGGATTGTGATTGATTAACTAGGTTAGAAAAATTAAATTGGCTGATGTGTAGATGAATTAATGAGGACATTCTCAAAAGGAGGCTGGGAAGAGGGATTTTAGTAGCTTTTTAGTAACTAGTTTCTTGGATTGTTATTAAGTTGAAAATTGTGCTTCTTATTTTTGCTAAATTAGTAAGAGATGATTTCACTTGTTGTGTATGATTGTCAACATGATGTATGATGTTTCTTGTTTTTAATGTAGTTTGCAGCAAAGATATGCCTTTTGACATCATTCAGAGACACTTATTTCATCGAAATTATGCCATTGTATGAAGCTCCGAAGCGTGGTAAGATTGTTATCATCATTATTATTTACCTCAATTACTTTAATCAGTCTTACGAATTTACAAGATTATGTACAGGCAGAGTTTTAATATGTAGATTCAATGAAGTTAATGATGAATCAAAGTGATGATGTGGATACAACGTATACTTGATGATTCCACGACAACATGGTTTTGATGATAACAAAGAGGAATGATTCAAAGACGAAGCAATATCCAAAAAGCAAATGTGAAAGCATGCACCAAGTCTCGAGCATCAATCCATGTCTAGAATCTCAAATGGTATACTCATTTAGGACTTAGGATAAATATGTAAAGATGTATAGATACAAAGCATTGCATGAGCTCAAGGTCATTCATCAATCATATATTTCAAAAGCATGCATCCTTAAAAGAAAAGTCAAGACAAATGGTTTCATATGTACAATATTGGTTTGGAAGAAGTACCTATGTGATACAAACTTTTCTAGATAATTTCCATAACCAATAACATGCATTACACGTCATAAAAATCATTTGTAAAGAGTAGAAACTCAGAACTCGTACAAAAAAGGCTGCTGCTATGAAATATCCGGATATCCAATATCCGGATATGAAATCTAGAATATCCGGATATCCAATATCCGGATATGTGCCCGATAAATATCCGGATATGTACGGATTACAACGGCTAGAAACGGCTAGTTTTCTTATGAGGTGTCATTATAAATACCCACATCAGTTGGGATGAACAGTACACGACCCTAGATCATTTATTGAAGCTTTATTACTCTTGCTAGGCTTTTATTGCTCATTAATTACTTACTTTAATCATTGCATACACTTGAGCTCATCTTTCCTTTGAAGTTATACATCTCTTAGTTCTTCAATTTGTTCAATCTGTACTTTGAGAGTACTTAACCACTTCTAATCACCTCAACACTACTTCTTTATTTGAGAGGGGAGTGAACCCTATATTTGAGAGGTTACCAAATTCCTAAGAAAATTTGGAGTGAAAAAGTGTAAGGCATCAAGAGCCCGAAGTCTTGAAAAGTTGTAGTGGTTTGTCAAACACCCTCAAGCTTGATAGTTAGTGAAAAGAATTGATCGAGCGGCTTCAGTCTGGACGTAGGTCACGGTGGTGGTGACCGAACCAGGATACATCTAGTTTGCAATTTCTCTAACCTTAATCTCTTTATTTAAGTATTAAAATTGCATCGTAGATTGTCTTTATATATTCGCTTGCTTACTTTGTTGATCATTACACTTGCTTTTACAATTAGACATTTCCTTATTAAATCACTTTATTGAAGAAATAGTCTTTAAAACATCAAAGGAGGTACTTTGCGAAAAGATTTTGTAAAACTGAATTCACCCCCCTCTTGAGTATTGAAGCCACCTGTCCATCAAGTGGTATCAGAGCTTGAACTCTTGTGTAAAGAGCTTAACCGCTTCAAGAGAAGGGATGACTTCTTTGAACCATGATATGCCCCTTGAGGGATCATCTAGTACTAGACCTCCATTTTTTAATGGTGTCGATTATTCTTATTGGAAGAGTCGGATGAAAATATTTCTTCAATCTAATGATTTAAGAGTATGGATTGTAGTTGAAAAAGGATACACACCACCTACTATAAAAAATGAGAAGGATGAAGATATTCCTAAAGATATAGATAATTACACTGAAGATGAAATTAGGAAAGGAAATTGGAATGCTAGAGCTCAAAACTTGATCACAAATGCCTTAGGTCGTGATGAATACTTTCGTGTTTCAAATTGTAATAATGCTAAGGAAATGTGGGATACTCTTCAAATAACCCATGAAGGAACGAGTGATGTTAAATTTACAAAATTAAATGCACTCACTAGAGAATTTGAAATGTTTGAAATTCATGAGAATGAAAGTATTCAAAGTATGCAAAAGAGATTCACACACCTTGTCACTCATCTAAATGCTTTAGATAAATCTTTTACCAACCTTGAGTTAATTGCTAAGGTGATGAGAAGTGTGCACAATAGGGAATGGCAACCCAAGTTGACGGCTATTACGGAATCAAAAGATTTGAAAACCATGGACCTTGCAACCTTGTTCGGCAAGCTCCAAGAGTATGAAATGGAGCTAACTAGAATAACCTTGAAGGAACAAGCCATCAAGAAAAGCAAGGGAATTGCCTTGAAAGCCTCAACACCAAGCAAAGAGAAGGATGAGGAAAAAGAAGATGGAGGTTCCGAAAATGGTCTTGACGAAGATGAGATGAGTCTTTTCGTAAAGAAGTATGGAAAATTCTTTAAGAAGAATTTTTCAAAGAAATCCGCTTTTCCTCCTAGAAGAAGATCTAAAGATGAAGGATTCTCACAACTTACCATCACTTGCTTTGAATGTGGAAAAACCGGTCACTATAAATCGGATTGTTCAAATATTCAAAAGAAAGACAAATATGAAAAGAAGCAAGGCAAGGATAGAAGGAACTTCAAGAAGGGTTATCTTGCTTGGGATGATGAATCTAGTTCTTCCGATGATGACTCCAAGGAAGAAGCAAATCTATGCTTCATGCAAGATGGAAGACCACCGGATAAATCAAGCAAAGGAACTCAACATATATGTCTAATGGCAAATGAGGACAAAAATGAATCCGAAACCGAGGTAAACTCATCTTGCTCTACTCTTTCCCCTTCATATGATGAGTTGTCTGACATGTTTGAAGAAATGCATAATGAAACACTAATACATGTTAAAGCTCTTAGAGCATCAAGAAAAACTATTAGTTCTTTGGAAAAACAAATTGCATCTTTAGAAAAGGAAGTAAAAGAGTTGAAGGATGAAAATGAAACTCTCAAATTACTTGATGCTAGCATTGGTTGTATTAAATGCCTATCTTCAAATGATCATGCATCTTCATCATCATGTACTTCATGCAAAGATCTAAACAATGAAATTGATGATTTAAATAAAATTCTAAGCAAATTCACATGTGGAAGAGACAACTTAAATGTGTTGCTTGGTAAACAAAGATGCATGTTCAACAAATCCGGTTTAGGCTTTGACACTAACACACAAGAAAAATCATATAAAAACTTTTTCATTTCACCATCCTACATGACAAGTAGCCCATTCATTAAATGTTTTCATTGTGGTGGAAAAGGTCATAGTGCATCCACTTGTAAAGTTAGAAAGAATGGTATTATTGGGCAAAAGAAAGTGTGGGTTCCTAAGGGAACTAAGCCCAAGACTAACACACAAGGACCCAACATGGTGTGGGTACCAAAGATTAAATCTTGACTTTGTGATGTAGGTTTGTTTGAAGGCTAAAAGCTCCAAGTGGTACTTGGATAGTGGTTGCTCAAGTCACATGACGGGAGATGTAACTAAGTTCCAATCACTCACTAAGAAAGAACATGGACATGTTTCCTATGGAGATAACAACAAAGGAAGGATTTTTGGTATTGGAAAAGTTGGTAATTCCTCCTCCGTTTCTATAGAAAATGTTTTACTTGTTGAGGCCATTAGACATAACTTGCTTAGCATTAGTCAATTATGTGATAAAAATTATAAAATTATTTTTGACTCAACCTCTTGTAAAATTGAGAGTCTAATTGATGGGCAAGTTAAGTTTCTTGGTCATAGAGTGGATAACATTTATATGATAGACTTAGATGGTATGCCTTCAAATGACGATAAATGTTTGATTAGTAAGGAAGATGACTCTTGGCTATGGCATAGAAGAATAGCACACATTGGCATGGGTCAATTAAGCAAATTGATATCCTTAGACTTAGTAATTGGGTTACCAAAGCTCAAATTTGAAAAAGATAAAGTTTGTGATGCTTGTCAAATGGGAAAACAAGTAAAGGCTTCTTTTAAATCAAAAAATATTGTTTCTACCACAAAACCTTTACAGCTTTTACATATGGATCTTTTTGGACCAACTAGAACCATGAGCTTTGGTGGCAATTACTATGCCTTGGTTATTGTGGATGATTATTCTCGCTATACTTGGACTTTATTTCTTACATATAAAAGCGATACTTTTAAATCATTCAAGAGACTAGCCAAGCTTATTCAAAATGAACTATCTTCAAATATTGTTTCAATTAGAACCGATCATGGTGGAGAATTTGAAAATCAAGAATTTGAAATGTTTTGTGAAGAAAATGGTATTGAACATAATTTTTCCGCTCCTAGGACTCCACAACAAAATGGAGTTGTAGAAAGGAAAAAGCATGTATTGGAAGAACTTGCTAGAACGATGTTAAATGAAAATAATCTTCCAAAATATTTTTGGGCGGAAGCCGTTGGCACCGCGTGTTATGTTATGAACCGTGCTTTAATTAGACCTTTTTTTGAAGAAAACTCCCTATGAACTTTACAGAGGAAGAAAACCCAATATTTCATATTTTCATGTCTTTGGTTGCAAATGTTTTGTTTTAAATAATGAAAAAGAAAACCTTGGCAAATTTGACTCTAAAGCCGATGAAGGCATATTTCTAGGATATTCACTTACAAGTAGAGCTTATAGGATCTATAACAAAAGAACAATGGTCATTGAAGAGTCTATTCATGTTGTATTTAATGAGACTGACAATGCCTTGCCTAGAAAGGAACCTTGTGATGATGAGGTTATAGAAAGCATGGAAAACATAAACTTGAATGACAAAGAGGAAGACGAAAGGCAAAAAGAAAAAGAAGCAAACAATGAAGAAACACCAAGTCAACAAACCAATGATGGAAACAATCTACCACAAGATTGGAGAGTAGCTAGAGGACACCCCATTGATGCGGTCTTGGCAATGCAAGAAGAACTAAATCAATTTGAAAGAAATCAAGTTTGGGAACTTGTGCCAAAACCAAATGATTATCCAATAATTGGAACTAAATGTGTCTTTAGGAACAAGCTTGATGAAAATGGCATAATAACTAGAAACAAAGTTAGACTTGTTGCTAAAGGATATAATCAAGAGGAAGGTATTGATTATGATGAAACTTATGCTCTCGTTGCTAGATTAGAAGCTATTAGATTATACTTGCATTTGCATGTATAATGGATTTTAAACTCTTTCAAATGGATGTCAAAAGTGCCTTTTTAAATGGTTTATATTCAAGAAGATATATGTTGATCAACCTCCCGGTTTTGAAGATCTTTTTACCTAACCATGTCTTTAAACTCAAAAAGGCCTTATATGGTTTAAAGCAAGCTCCAAGAGCATGGTATGAAAGATTAAGCAAATTTCTTTTAGAAAAAGGTTTTTCAAGAGGAAAAGTGGACACAACTCTTTTTATAAAGAAGAAAGATGATCATCTATTATTTGCACAAATTTATGTTGATGATATTATCTTTGGTGCCACTAACGTTAATCTTTGTGAAGAGTTTGTTAATCTCATGCAAAGCGAATTTGAAATGTCTATGATGGGTGAGCTAAACTTCTTTCTTGGTCTCCAAATAAAGCAACACAAGGATGGGATATTCATTAATCAAGCTAAATATTGCAAGGAGTTACTCAAAAAATTTGGAATGGACAACTCCAAGGCCATTGATACTCCCATGGGTACATCTTGTTCTTTAGACAAAGATGAAGGAGGTAAATCCATAGAAATTACTAAATATCGAGGTATGATCGGCTCACTTCTATATTTAACCGCAAGTAGGCCCGATATTATGTTTTGTGTGTGCATGTGTGCCAGATTTCAAGCTAATCCTAAGGAATCACACTTAAGTGCCGTAAAACAAATTATGAGATATCTTGTAGGCACTTCACACATGGGATTATGGTACCCTAAAGGTGCATCATGTGAACTAATAGGTTATTCCGATTTCGATTTTGCGGGTTGCAAATTGGATAGGAAAAGTACTAGTGGCCACTTTCTTGGTTGCTCACTAGTATCTTGGCATAGCAAGAAACAAAATAGTGTGGCATTATCCACGGCCGAAGCGGAATATGTGGCGGCCGGTAGTTGTTGTGCACAAATCATATGGATGAAACAACAACTAAAGGACTTTGGGGTTGATCTTGATCACATCCCCATTAGGTGTGATAACACTAGTGCCATCAATATCACCAAAAATCCCATTATGCACTCACGGACTAAACATATTGATATTAGGCATCATTTTATTCGAGATCATGTGCAGAACGGCGATTGTATTTTA